ATCCCGTGTCACCTCCCAATAGAGCTTTAAGTGTTTTGGATCTTATAAAAGTATACATATCTTCAACGAAGAACGTTTATGTAAAATACAAAAGTAAATATGTGTAAAATTGAGCTTAAAATGGATAAATACCAAAACTTTGCCAGTTTCCTGCTACAAAAAGCCACAATTGAGCCATACGGTCAACGACATTGTCGACCATGATATTTAATTATTTTTATATTTTATTTTAAAGTTATTTTCATAAACATATTTTAAAAATTAACTAAACTAATTAATAAAAAACCCATTTTTGTAATTTTAGTAATTTTAAAAATCATTAAAACAACAAATTTACAAATTATATCTAAAATTGATAATTTCAAAAGTCGGTCCATAAGTGATTGTGGAACAAACTATAGCAATCCTAAATTAAACCTAAATTTGATAGATATAAATTGACTAGTATGGGTTTTTTTTTTCCCTTTAATTATTAAAATATGATAATATTTTTTTTCAAATAAAAAATTTAATAATTAAAATTCTAGAAAACTGGCCAACGAAATTGTCGACAGACCTACCTTTTAGGAGTCCTCTTACAAATAGAATATTCCATAATGTGTTCTCGACATAATCACTTATAAAATTGAGTTACANTTAGTGAGGGCTAAGGAATAAGGGATTACCGGAAGTCTAGTCGGGGACTGTGACTACGGCGAATCAGTGAAACTCTCAAGTGAAGAGTCTCGGGTGTGAGGGTGTAATGTCGATGTCCTTTGTGAGAGGGCTGGCCTCTGTTTATATAGTGGTCGTATGGTCTCCCAATCTTGGTAGAAGTAGGAGTCCTAGTACGACTCTGATGCAAACCCTAGAAGAATTAGGGTTGTGGTAAGCTGTCTTACCAGTGTCCGTATAGGAAGGTGATTCTGATTAGGAGTAACTCCAAGTAGGAAAGTGATCAGGAATAGGAAAGTCACCTTGAATGGGAGATCGATCCGGAGTAGGAAAGTATTCTGAGGGGGTTGTGGGCTCTGGACTTGTCCACGGACCTAGGACATGGGCCAGGTTTGAGAAGCTTGTACCCACGTGGTTTGGGCCGGCTATACCTCATGTCGAAATAGGACTAATCTGGCTTGGGCCTCTGTAGCACTGGGCCTGGTCTTTCTTCACTAGTGGTCCTGTTTCCCTATTTGGGCCAAGGACGATTTTTGGCCCTAACAATTTGATAGATATAAATTGACTAGTATAGTTTTTTTTTTTTCCTTTAATTATTAAAATATGATAATATTTTTTTTTCTAATAATTAAAATTCTAGAAAACTGGCCAACGAAATTGTCGACAGACCTACCTTTTAGAAGTCCTCTTACAAATAGAATATTCCATAATGTGTTCTCGACATAATCACTTATAAAATTGAGTTACCAAATAGTTAATGATAATTTAAGAAATAGTGATTCAAACCCCAGACTGAGCCAACCTCTTATACCAAATATAGCTCTCATATTTTCTCCTCAAACCATGTGACATAAATATACAAAAAACCAATACTTCATAAAGACGCTATGTTTTGTTTTGGTTACGATGGGGTTAATGTGGTAATTAATGTCCCTATTAATTATGAAGAATCCAATACTCTTTTTCTTGCACCTTGATTTCAAGGTGGATTTATGTCACCATTGACATTATAAATTTGACCCAAACAGATTAATTCTTCCCCAAATAAAGGGTGTCTAAACAAGAAAAAGCAATCTTTAATTAATCACATGTTATTTATATTTGGATTAGCTGCTATCTATTAACATCAATAAAATATCATTATCCAATTGCTACGATTCTTAAAATTAGACCTAAGAAAAAAATTGGTCACTAGTCCCTAATACCCTGAAGTCTTGATTCTAAAGTCGTCTTTTTTTGGGAGTCTCCAGCTTATTCTTAAAGGTGTCTTAATAAATAATCTTATTCCAAATTTTCAGTCCCTAGTAACCAAATTATCTTTTTTTTTTTCCTTTAATATCTATTAGTTGATTATCAATCACTTTAGATTTTTTATAAATGAGTTATTTCTCCATTCGCACTAAAAAAATGTTTCTTAATACAATTTTCATTTTATTTTTAATATTGAATAATAAATTTGTAATATTAAATTGCTTTTTTAATAGTACAAGTTTTATATTGGAGGGTGATACTGATACGTATTAGTATTATTATAGCTGGTCCTAATTACATTATAAGAGGGTGTGAATATGGTCAACTTATTTAAAAGAAGTTGGTGGGCAATGACATGTTAATTCGTAATCCAAGTTATTAATTAATTAAGGGATAAATACACAGGATTTGGTGTTGAGTATGTTATACTTAAAGATTTTGAGGATATGAAGCTGGTTTTCAGCCAATTGTCAATCAATTGGTAATAGTTTATTTTGACGCAAGATTTTGTACATTATTGTCTCTATTCTTAATATTATTTTTATTTAATCTGTTCATAAATCGTAAGTCAAAGCCAGCCTGTACTTATTAACATTGTTCAGAAGTAAGCACCATTGAACCAACACGAAACTTAATGTAAAACAAAAAAAAAAAAAAGAATCTTATTTAAGAAAATTAAAACAAAATTTAATCTTATTTAAGTCACTAAGAAACTCATCAAGTAGCTGCTCTCAAGAACTCCACAAATACATGCTTCTGCAGTTAAGGCCTTGTTTGGTGAAGATGTTATATCCTAATTTAGAGTAAATGACATTTACCCACCCAAGGATTGGCAAATCTACAAGTTCCCACACTTGATTTCATAAATTGGAAATTCCTATCTAATTTTAAAATTTAAACGTTAAAAAGGTAATTTAGGTCTTTTTATCCAAAAATAGTGAACCCTAATCTCTCTCACTCTCCCAAATCAGTAAAATTTTAAAATAACCCACCACATCTCAAAATATTCTCACAATCCAACACTTCCTCTTCGCCTCAAACTCTACCACCACCACTGCCACCAACGTGGAGAAGAGGAAATGAGAAAGAGAAAGAGAAAAAAGAAGAAAGAAAGAGGCAAATAAGAGATAAGTAGAAAGAGAGAGAGAAAAGAGAAGAGAGAAAGAGATGGAGAAGATCCTAATGAAAATATATGGTTGTCAAGATATGATTATTGAGGAGAAGAGGAAGCTTGAAGAAGAAGATGTTATTGAAATAAATTTGAAAGGATGATGATTATTTTTCTAATATTATTAATTTAAGGGTTAGAAAGTAATTAATTAATTTATCCATTATCATAATAAGGATAATTAACTAGTCAAACATGATAAAAGCAAATTTTACCTTAACTGAGTTCAAAATTGGGTGGGAATTTCAATTTATGAAACCACATTAAATTCGCCAAACCTTGGTTGGGTAAGTGTCCTTTACTCTCCTAATTTATTTTAAAAAACACTTTTATAATAACGACATTTTACGTCAATTTATCTTTTTATCTCTAGATAGAAAGATAAATCATACGTGTACAAGCAACGGTCTGTTGCCGTTGCGATTACGACTAGTATTTCTCCTTCAAGATACTGGGGCCCATCCCTTTCGGCTATCCGGATATCTTACTTCGCACATGTAGCGCGTGCTCCTGACCGCCTGTCAGTTTCAAAACAGATACGCGTGTACACTACGCTCTTCTTTGTGCTGAAAAGCAAAGTCTGCAAACTGCAGTGTGACAGTGGTATGTTTTCTGATGTTACAACTTACAAGTTGGTTTAGCTTTTGTTTTTCGGTAGTGGTATGTGGTGTGGCGTTTTGTATTTTATTGGACAAAATTACCCTTATAGACAAATCACTTTTAAAAGTAATTTTGGTAGAAAGTGCTTTGTTTGGTGACTTTTCTTACTTAAAGCTTTTGACCAATTTTCTTGGAAAATCACTCATATGTAAATTAATTTTACAAAATTATGTATTAATTTAGCTTTCAAAACTATAATGTATATTTAATCTTACAAAATTAATATTCTTTTCAAGAAAATATTTCATATTCTAAATTACTTCTTAAGATTATACTAAAAAAGCAATTGTGAAAACACTATGCCATATATATATTATTTTAGACTATTTACAATATTTTTTTTTTTTTTTTTAATTTTAAATGTATTCAAACAAATCAAACATACACTATTTTTTGTCTCTATTTATATATTCAATTTATGGGTTAAAATATTGTGATTTATTTTTTTAATACTATTTTTGAATTGTTTTTTTTTTTTTTGTTTGGATATAAAAAAATTGAGAGATAATTTTTAACTTTAATTTCTTTAAGATTGGGTCGGAATCAATAAATAACTCAAAAATAGTATAAAAATAATTAAGACATAATAACTTTTAATTTTCTTAAATTATGACAAAATTATAAATATATAGGCTCCGTTTGGTTCATTATTCTGATAGTTTTTAGAATAATCTTTTGAAAAAAGTTAAATTGGACAGGTATTACGATGTATGATTTGGAATTAACAAAAATATCCCCTATGTTTGTTTATTTACTAAACATCCTTGTAATAAAATATTAAAAGTTAACAAAAACACCTTTAACCCACCCATTAAATACGGACAGTCGGCCACCACCGTCGGAGGGTGGTTGGAGTATTTTTACAATTTCTTAAAAAAAAAATTTTGAAATATTTAGTTAAATTAACAAATTTAAGAGGTTTAAAAAAAATTAAAAAAAATAAAATAATATTTTAAGAATAATGATATTTTACTATTTAACTTTTTTAGGAATACTAATAATAGTATTCCCCAAACCGAACCAAACAAAGCCATAATATTTTGACTTTTTTAATTTCAAGTGGGAACTGGGAAGATCAACATCAAGTGCTTTTTGCCAGGTTCACCTGACACCATTAAAATAATTGAAGGACATTTTCGACCTTCAAATCTCTCCCTTCCTCTCCTTCTCTTTAAATACTAATTAACTCAACTTAATGAGTCTACTCTAATGTTTCTAAATCAAGATTTAACGTCTTAATAATAATATTAATTAATAATAATAATCAAAACCAGCTTATCTTATTCCTCTCCCTCAATGCCATAATAAGAACAAGAAGCTCAATCTTTCTCTTTAAACCCTCTCTCTCTAAGACCCCAAAAAGTTCAACCAAAAATGTGGCCTCTGCGTGGCCTGATCTTGGCAGTTTCAGCATTTCTAGTGCCGGTGTCGGTGGTGTATAGTGTTATTCTTCCATTGGAGAGGGCTTTTCCACTCAACCATTCACTTCCACTGAGTCAACTCAGAGCTCGAGATCGTGTCAGGCACCCGAGAATCTTGCAAGGTGTTACCAGCGGTGTTGTTAACTTCCCAGTTCAAGGCTCCTCTGATCCATATCTAATTGGGTAACTTTCTCATTTCTTCCTGTTCTTGTTGTTTTCATTATTGCTCTTGCTGTTGTAATTTTAAGTTTTTTGTTTTTGTTTTTGTTTTTTTTTTGATAAAAAGGTGGAGAGAAATTAGTTAAAGAATTCTTTATTATGTTTTGTGTGTGTGTTTGCTAATGATTCACTATTGTTGTTATGTTGTGGGGAAATTCATCAACTTGGTTTCGCACTTTGCAGTGATTCATATTGGTAAGTGTTTGGGCAAGTTTTGTGTTCTATAATTTCACTACTCTTTTGTTTATATGTTCAAGGCAAAATTTGTAACTTGAATTTTCTTTTTTTAATCTAATTTGGAGGTCTATAATGCGTATACATTGATGGGTTTGTTTATAAGTTTGAATATTTAGTAGTCAGTGTTATTTTTTCTTGTTTCTGGTTCAGAGTTTGTTGTTTGCCTCTGTCTATAACAGTATATAGAAACGAAAGGATTTAGCTCAAGAAGTTTTTATTGCATCTTTGTCATTGGATCTTTCAATATTCTTGTTTTGCATATTTGTGGTGTTTCTGTTTAGGTGTTTTGTTGTTTTCGTTTCACATTAGGATTACACGTGAAGTAATCTTGTACTTAGTATTTCAGAACTATATTAAATTACTGTGTTCTTGGTTTGTCTAGGCTTTATTTTACGAAAGTGAAGTTGGGTTCTCCTTCTAGAGAATTCAATGTGCAAATTGATACTGGAAGCGACATTTTGTGGGTTACTTGCAGTACCTGCAGTAATTGCCCTCAAATCAGTGGACTCGGAGTAAAATCTTGTTTCTTTAACTTGTTTTTAGTTCCTTAACCAAATGAGCTATTATAGTGAAATGACAATCTAGAGTATAACTTCTTACTTGAAATTTTATGTGTTTTGCAGGTTCAGCTCAATTTTTTCGACGCTTCTAGCTCATCAACTGCTAGGCCACTTCCCTGTTCAGACCCATTGTGTTCTTCAGAAATTCAAACAACAGCAACTGAATGTCCTCCTCAGAGTAATCTGTGTGGCTATTCATTTCAATATGGAGATGGAAGTGGGACATCAGGCTCATATATATATGATACATTGTATTTTGATGCTATTTTGGGGGAGTCAATGACTGCTAACTCTTCAGCTCTGATTGTTTTTGGGTGAGTTCTTATTACTATTTCAAAAACATTTGTATGAGCATGATGTGAATAGAAAATAATCATTAAAGTGAAGAGAACAGATGGAAAGAAGTTTCGAAGAACCTCAAAGTATGTGAATATTTCACTTTTGAGAAAATAACCTACGTTGTTGCCAGTTATTTTAACAGTACGGTGATCTTGGCAGTACTGCTCTTAAAAATTTTGTGACGCTCAATTTTCTTGTAATTGTTACCAACTTTAGTATTGCTTTCATTTGCAGTAATTAAGCCAAACCTTTTGCAATGTGCACACAGTTAATATTGTTGTGTTCTTATCTTTTTGCTGGAAATGTTGGAAAGGATGTAATAAATATTATGTTATTTAACAAGCAAGTTTTTTTATCTGCTACTTACTTTGAGTCATGTTTTTCATTCGCCCTTTACCCTCTCTTCTCGCTTTTTTAGTGGTTGCTGTTTCTCCCACTTTTATTCCTTGTTATTTTGTTACTAGGAATTTATTGTTTGACATGGTATTGGAAACAGGTGTAGCACCTATCAGAGTGGGGACTTGACTAAAACAGATAAAGCAATTGATGGGATATTTGGATTTGGCCAAGGGGATCTGTCAGTCATATCACAATTGTCATCTCACGGGATAACACCCAGAGTTTTCTCTCATTGCCTAAAAGGAGAGGGCAATGGAGGCGGTATATTGGTTCTTGGAGAGATTTTGGAACCAAGCATTGTTTATACTCCGCTGGTGCCATCAAAGTATGTACCTTTTTTGTGGCACTCTTTCCTTTTCCTCTGTTTTTTTTTTTCTTAACTCTTAAGATGACAATGGGAATTCATCAAATTTAGATTCTGGGGTTTCCATTCTGTTCTCTTCTGGTAGTTGAAGCAGTTTTCCTTCTTTATCATTCTTTTTGTTAGGAAAAATTTGAACTTAGAGATATAAGGTTAGGTTTTTTAAACTTCGGGTATTACCAAAGTTGTTTGGCTAACCAGAAGAAACTTATTCACTAAGTTCTTCTGGCCTTTGAGAAGAATATCGTTCCATTCTTCCCCGACCACTCATATTTCTAATGATTATGCTTAAAGACAGCACATATTTATGTTTATACAATGATGGTTCATTGTCATTCGTTTGGCAGTTTATATTGGTTGCGTTTGTGAGTTTGGTGCCTATCAAATTGGAGGATACTGGAGCTAAGTAGGTAGTTGAAATAGCAATCGAACATGAATATTTTAGTGTCTTATGAAAAAAAGAATATTTTAATGCTGCGGTGAATTCTTCTGTGAGATTTAAAACTTTTATCTGGCAGAACTTATGATATCGGGGTGACTGTACTTATTTAATTTGACCTTTTATGAGTTGTTAATCTATTAAAGTTTGCAAAAATACACTGTTTGGTTTTTATTACTATATCTCTCTCTCTTCTTTTTTTTTTTTTTTAGGCGGGATGAGAGGGAAGGAGTCTTGTGATATTAATGTTTTAATGTAGGACCTTAATTTTCTGCTTTATATAAATGATTTTTGAGTTCCTACATATTAAATCTTCTGTTCAACTAGAATGTATGAATATTGATTAAGTTTAAATGCCTCTGTGTTTGAAAATTTCAGGCCTCATTATAATATAAATCTGCAGAGCATTTCTGTCAATGGAACATTGTTGCCCATTGCTCCAGCAGCATTCGCAGCTTCAAATAACAGAGAAACTATTGTTGACTCTGGAACAACTTTAACTTACCTTGTAGAAGAGGCTTTTGATCCTTTTGTTGATGCTGTAAGTTTGAATTTTAACATTTTTTTCAGAGTGATTTAGTTTTTGTGATGGCATAACTATTATAAGTTGATCAAGATTGGACTCTTCCTAAGAATACCCTTAAGAACACAAAGTTAAATGTTACAACAAGCAGTAAAGCATGAAGTCTTAAAGAAGGGAGGGGCTTTCATATCTCACTTAACATGCTTGGTCACAGTATAATGGAGTTTTTTTTTTCTGAAAATTGTATTGTGGTAGAAAAAGATCAGTTTGTAAGATAAGAGGATTCCACAATAGTCCTCTTAATAGTTTATTTTGACAATTTCCATCCCTGTGGATCTTGTTTCTATACATGATAAAAATTCCTGGAAAAGTCTCTCTATAAAGAACGGGGCATCTTTTTTATTTTATACTTCTGTAGACGAAAAACCCCTTTTTGCATGCACCTGCTTTAAAATTGTGACTTCTGCTGGTTATCACTGGTTGTGCCCGTTTCTTTTGTCCTGATAATTCATTCGGTTCATTTTTGCTGCATCTGCTCATTTCTTGTATTCTTGCAATTTGTTTCATCTCAAAATGTGGAAATGAAGCAGCACTAGCTGGAGTGAACTTCAGATGGTCCTTTATCTACTTATGTACCTTTTGAAGTATTTTTGGGCCTTTGCATGGAGAATCACTTGAAAAGCGCTTGAAATGGTTTGAGATTTCAATCATTTGTTCAATCTGATAGAATTTTTTGTTATGTTGTTGGAACTAAAACAAATGAAATAAAGCCATAAAAGTATAACAAGCTCTTTCACTTGGAGTGGTTTTAATATGCCTGCTGCCAGTTACTAGCTGCCTTTTCTCGTTCTACTGAGATTTTTGTTAAAATTGCTTCTATTATGTTCTGAAGGTCTTCCACCGATTGATTTTGTAGATAACTGCAAGTGTTTCACAAACTGTGACTCCCATTATGTCGAAAGGAAAACAGTGTTATCTAGTCTCCACCAGGTTCAGTCTCAACTTAATGTTTCCAATGAATATCTTATAGTTACATATCCTTATTATCTTGTATTTTTTCCTTTTTTTTTTCTTCTAAACATCTGAAGCTAAATTTCTGTTTTCTATTCAGTGTATCCGAGATATTTCCTCTGGTCGGTTTAAATTTTGATGGTAGTGCATCCATGATTTTAAAACCAGAAGAGTACCTTTCACATATTGGTTTCTATGTGAGTTGTTTATCTTGTTTCTTTTTGCAATTCTACCTCTGTTTGAGAGTTTATAAATTAGATATGATTATTGTCCATGTCATTCCACTACAAAAATATTGAACGTGCTACTTGTTTCAGGATGGTGCTGCAATGTGGTGTATTGGTTTTGAGAAAGTTCAAGGAGGAGTATCAATTTTAGGAGGTTAGTTTCCTGGACCTGATACATATTTAAAGCTCTGGGCAATTTACTTTGACTTCCAAAATCCAATTTGTCATTTTGCATCTACAATATACTGTGGATCTTAGTCATTCCATTTAAGTACACTATTAGTAGCAATTCAATTAGTAAATATAGTAAAAGTACTAATAAATAATGGTATAGGTATTTTCAATTCGATTTATACCTTCTGTTTTGCACTTTGCTCATATATGAAGAGCATGCATAAATACAATTCTAGATGCAGGAAACTTAATTTTGTTGACTGGCTTTATCGTCTGTGATGCTCTACTTCCCCTATAAAGACTACTGAGCTTTGCTTTCCACTTACAAAGTTGTTGGGTCTTTTGAGTGAAAATGGATTTTACAACTTGCCCCAGTGGTAGTATTTTTGCCTTGTTTTGTTACTTTCCATTTAGTTCTTACTCTTGATGAGGAAATGTGTCTGGTATAAGAAACTGCATGTGGAAAATTTATAATGTCATTCATGATTTTTAAACTAAGCAAAAAGACAAACCTTTATTCTTTTGGCACATCAGCTTTGGATATTTGAAATAATAAAGGAATATCGAGTAGAGGCTTTGCATTGAGTATACACATTAGTCTTAGGACTCACCCAATTTATTGGCCAATTACCAGTATAGGTCCATTTCATAAAATTCATTTTTTTTTTTTTTTCCTGAAGAAAGAAGATATGCCTTAATTGCTTGTATGCCTTTTTCATAACCTAGTTAACCTTGACAAGTTTCTGTTGGACATAAAAGGGATTAGGCGCTCTTGTTTCAAAATGCAAGGGCTTTCTGACTACTGAACAGTTTTCATTGTGATAGATACCCACTCCCAGTTTGATAGGAATTGGGTTGGGCCCCAATTTGATAGGAATTGGGTTGGATAGTGGTTCTTTTGTGGGCTTGGGTAGAACTCTCCTTGGAAAACTGGTTTGCCAAGGGAGGGTGCCCAACTCCTTATAAACCACACGCCCACCCCTTTTCCCTATCAATGTGGGATCCTAACATTTCCCTACGCGTTGAGACCCAACGTCCATGTTGGCCCACTCTGGGTGGCCTACTCTAGGCCACTTAATAGTCTTTCTCTCTTGGCCTACTCTCCCAAGTTGCCCTTTTTGAGGTAGCCCTTTGCCAGGTTGCCCCTTCCGGAACATGAGCTCGGGCGGGGTTTCGCTTTGATACCATTTGATAGATACCCACTCTCAATTTGATAGGAATTGGGCTGGCCAATGGACCTTTGATAGGAACTGGGTTGGGCAGTGGTCTTTTGTGGGCTTAGGTAGAACTCTCCTTGGAAAAGTGGTCTTTTGTGGGCTTAGGTAGAGCTCTCCTTGGAAAACCGGCTTGCTTAGGGAGGGTGTTCAACTCCGTATAAACCACATGCCCACCATTTTTTCTTCTCAATGTGGAATCCTAACACACTGAAGTAAAAAATCTCGGAGTAAAATTTCCTGTAACTATGTTTCAAAATTTACCTGGATATTCATTGTAATCCAGTTGTAGTATTGACAGGTGCATCTGTCCGAATTACTCAACATCTAGAAGTTGCAATACACGTCTTTACCGTCTTAAACTGTGAAACTAATTTCTTGTTTTGTTTTGTTTTTTTTTTTTTTTTTGTAGATCTTGTTCTAAAAGATAAGATCTTTGTATATGATCTGGCTCGGCAACGTGTTGGATGGGCTAACTATGATTGTAAGTTTATTTAAAATGAAATCGGTCTTCTTCTTCGTCTTCTTTGCCCCACTTGGAACAACTTTAATCATGTACCATGACATATAACTGAATCTCTTATTCATCAGGTTCCTCGTCTGTAAATGTCTCTATAACTGTTGGCAAGGATGAGTTCATAAATGCAGGACAGCTCAGTGTGAGTAGCTCATCAAGAGACATGCTCTTGAAACTGCTTCCTTTGAGCATAATTGCTCTCCTCTTCCACAGCCTGGTGTTCATGGAGTCCTAATTTGTGTAATTTTAAGCTCAGTGATTCGATTCGATTCTTTGTCATATATATATTGGCATGGCCGATTTTATTTATGGTAATCAGCCAGGCTTCCTGCTGCCATCCGGATTTGATATAGCTGCTTAATTCTTCCAAGGTTCTGGTTGCTGGTAATGGTGCCCGTCTTCTACTGCTGATTGGAATTCAGCCTTTTGCTTGCAAAGGATCCTCCAGCATGATCATTGCCGGAACTGTAAATTATGTCTGGTAGGTTAAGTAATGTACTGTCAAATTGGGTGACTGGAAGTATAACAGAACTAAATTGATTATTTTTTATTGTTGTAGCTACTGTTTCTGGGTTAGCTGGAAATATACAAGTTATATATGATATCAAAGTTGTAGCTCAGTTTTGTAATATTTCTTTATTTTAGTAATTCAAATTGTTCGTTTCTGTAAACAACTTTGATAAGAAAAATGTACTTTTTTAAGAAAGTTTTTCTGCTTGTAATGCTGGGGTTTCAATCCCTACACTTGCATGATGAATTGCTATTCAACTTGTCACTTATGCTTACTTGATGACAAGAGTTGGGCTATGTGACTTGACTGCAACGAGCTATATAACCTACATCGTGTGAAGAAATGTGTGCTTGTTCGGTATTTTAGGAATTTAGCCAAGGATTTCAATTGACTCCTTTTATTTGTTGAAGAGATTTTTCCAAAGGCCATAAATATTCTTAGAAAGTTGAAAAACAATACCCCAAGATAATTAGTTCAAGGTCTTGACCGGCGTCGATGGCTTTTTGAGCCACGTGAGGAATGCCGGCCTGCACACCATTATTACTCTGAGCAACGTTTTTCAACTCGAACACCAGCCGGTTCATTAATACCTTTCACCCGAATAACAACCGGCCCATTTGTATTCATAACTAGTTTTTTTTGGCAGTGATAACCAGCAACAAAAGCCAATGAAATGATTAGATGCCGATGCCAAAGTAACTGGTTGTAGGCCTTGTGGCCAATCTAATGGCTTCATTGGGTAGATCGTTAGTCGTGATCAATATGTGTCAATCAACTTAGAAATCGAATTTATATAGGATAGAATTTGTTTTATTTTAGTACTCTATCTAGATTTTATTCAATTTTCGTCCGCTGTCAGCCATTGATAGCTGTCTATCGGTTGTTTATTAGTTATTAATAAGATAGATAGATGTATATCGATTATAATGTCTAATGCCTTTAACATATTTTGAAGTTAGGTGCGACTATGGACAGGCTCACAAAACACAGGTCCTCTAAGGCTAGAGACAAAGCCTAAATATTATTACATGGATATTGTATAGATACATGATGTGATCCAATCCTAAAATCTATTCCAACAATATTGTTATTTTTTATTTTATATAGAAATCAGATATTCACTTAAATTAAAAATGTCAACTTATTATATCACATATCATCTCCAACCACAATCATTTTAATTTTTTATAAGTCTATTATAATTTATGTAGACGGTAAAAATCTATGGCTACGAGGAAGGATTGATCCTGTGAGGTTGAGGCCACTGACAATCCGTCGGTGTGGTGTTTGCCATAGGTACTCCAACGTTTAAGTCAGCAAAGCTGAAAGAGGTTATTTAGTGAGGACTAAGGGGAGGAAGGGTTACCGAAGTCTGATCGAAGATTAGAGCTACGACGAAGGTGCTAGTTCTTAGGAATAAGAACTCTTATGAGCTAATAGGTAGTATTAAATAATAGATGCTTTATGAGAGGCATGATCGAGAAAATTTAACTCCCCGGCCATCCCAAGTTTCAATTTAACAAAATGGCCTTGAAAATGTTTTTAATTTTTTTTTTTAATTTAGAGAAGCTGACGTGGCATAGTTAGGATTCAATAAACATGTAAAATGGGTTAAAATGAAAAGATTAAAACATATGTGGGAAAAATCATAATTAATGAAAGTTTTTTAAAATTTGAAATTTAAAAGTTCGCCCCACCCATTCAAATCGCTTAATCGAAACTGATTAGGATCGATTTCTTGAACCCTAAACGGAGATTGTGCGATTTCCGATCCAAACTCCAAATTTTCAAACCATATTCAATCCTAAAATCAATTTGTTGAACCCTAAACGGAATACAGTCTCGATTTCCGGCGATACAGTCGCGATTTCCGATCGAAACTGTAATTTTTCACACCAAATTCAATCCTAAAATCGATTTCTTGAACCTTAAACAGAATCTCTGCGATTTTCAGCGATACAGTCCAGATTTCTGATCGAAACTGCAAATTTTCACACCAAATTCAATCCTAAACCATGGCTGACATTCATAATGAGGACGAAAACCCAATGCCACTTGGAATCCTAGAGTCCGATGGCGCAAGCAGTTCAATGGCTGCTCCGGTGGATCATCTGATTAGTGAAGGTGGTCTACACGCAGAGGAGACGATGACGACACAATAACAGAGAGAAGAATCGCAAAACGGTTCTGAAGAGGAGGAGGCCAGCGAGAATTCAGGTGAGGAGGAGGAGGCCGGAGAGAATGCAGGCGACGAGGAGGCCAGCGAAGAAAGGGTACGTATTTGTTTTGGGAGTGTATTGCTTTGTACTATCACTTAAGCGATTCATCCCTTTTACTCATAGTCGCTTAAATGATTCCATATCGCTTCAGTGATCTTTTCCAAGGCAGAATCAACATCTGCCCAAATCTAAGATCGCTTAAGCGATTCATCTCTTTTACTCATGGTCGCTTAAGCGATTGCAGATCGCTTAAGCGATCTTGTCCAAGGTAGAATCATCTGCCTAGATATAAGATCGCTTAAACGATCTTTTGTATCGCTTAAGCGATTCATCTTTACTCTCTTGTCCGAGGCAGATTATCTGCCCATATCTAAGATTGCTTAAGCGATTCATCTTTACTGTTGATTGCTTAAGCGATTCATCTTTACTGTTGGTTGCTTAAGTGATTTTGTGCGAGGCAGAATCACCTGCCCAAATCTGAGATCGCTTAAGTGATCTTTCGTATCGCTTAAGTGATTCATTTAGTTTACTCTTGGTTGCTTAAGCGATTTCAGATCGCTTAAGCGACCATAGAGGTAATTTTTTGTTGCTAATATATTGTTTATTAGTTGTTTTGGTTTATTTTTGTTGCTAATATTTTGTTTATATCAATTGTGCAGATTGTGCGGACCGTAAACTATAAAGACTATGGGTTGGACATTGTAAGCGAGAATGTACCGTACTTCCTTGTAAGGGTGACAGTCAGGTCGAGTTGGGATGTTTTTGAGAGAATAAAGGGGATTTTAGATGGATCGAGGAATGGTCAATGACGATTCAAAGAGACTTGTTTCGGTCAGTTTTTGAAAACCAGAACAAATTGGAAAAAAAGGCGTTCTAGGGGCAGGGAGTGCATTATGTGTTGCTGCACTCAGTAAAATGCCAAAAAAAGCAAGAAATGTGGTTCGTGGTGGATGGAAAGCCACTACATTCTGGGATGATGGAATATGCATTGGTGACCGACTTAGGATGTGGGAAAATGCCAGATGAGGATAAGGCAAAGGCAATAAAGGAGAGTGGGGTAGCCATAAGGTTGGCTGAGAAGGTTTTGTAGGGGAAAGCGTCTATTACAGGATGCGATTTAGAGAAGATTATAAGAAGAGTTTGGTTTACCGATCTAGAGAAGTTCAAACCGTGCTTGGTATTGTTCTTATATTCGATCCTAATGGTTGGTAACTCAACAAAAGCCGTTGATATGGATTGGGTGAGGTTTGCAAGCAACTTGGACTTCTTTAATTCTTATCTGTGAGGATGGGTATCATTTAAGCGAACCATGGACTCCCTGCAAGGGAAAAACATGGTGTTAAAGCAGTCCTAATGGGTCGAGAAGGATAAACCGAGCACGTACAATTTGTTTGGCTTCCCATGGGCAATGCAAGTAAATATTAATAGCTTTTTGTTATATTTTTTGTAATATATGTGTTTGAATTATGATATGGACTGTTTTTTTTACAATGTAGGCTTGGATGTATGAGGCTGTCCTTGTCTTCGCTAAGGCGGGAGGGGGGAGAAGAGTTCGGATGTGCGATAACAATTTCTTAGGATGTTGCGGTGGCATGTCTAGAAGTGTATCCATTGGGATTACGACCAAATAGACATTGAAATTGAGGCGGCTGGGGTAAGATTAAAGAATTAAGCTTTTGAATATGCAGTTGCTTTAAAATGTCACTTCAATCTCATTGATTTTGTTTCTTATTACAGGGAGTCGTCTGTCCCTTTCTCACCGCTACTGCGGGTGAAGCGGAGCAAAAATATGTCACATCTTTCTAACCAGTGGAGGATGAAATGGGTGAACAGATAGACTGCCTGATGCGGGACCTAGAAGGGGTCACGCATGTGACGGCAGTTGCAGGGCCACTACTTGAGAACGTTGTTGATGCCGAGGATGATGAAGCTCCAATCAGTGGGAGGGAGGAGGAAGAGGAGGAGGAGGAGGAGAGGGAGGAAGAGGTTCGTATGCCTCAGTAAACCGGTACAACAAGTACCGCTTTGTCGAGATGTCGGCGTCGGGAGAATGAGGTGGTTGACCTCATAAACGGCCTGTTTGAGAGTTTTACAATAGCCGTTTATGATAGGTTTGGCAAGATGGAAGAGCGGATGAAAAGGGTGGAGGAGAAAGTGGATAAGATGGCTGAGAAAGTGGGTATGGTGGAGGAGGAAGTTGGTGGAGTATTAAAGGCAGTTGAAGTGCAACCTGGGCTGAAAAGAGAGAGCCGAAAGAGCAAGTTTGTCAAATCGCCTTACACGGTAGTAACACATGGAAAGAAGAAGAAAATTAAGAAACAAATGGAGGAGGAGGAGGAGGTTAAGGAGGTTGGTGGAGGAAGTGGGGCAGTGATAATGGAGGAGGGTGAGGTGGGAGGCGAAGGAGGCGGGGATGTACAAATGGAGGAAGGGGGAGGAAGTGGGCAGGCAGAAATGGACTCAAAGGTCGATTTGTATAGGCCAACAGAGAAAGAAAAGAAAAAAACTCTTATATGCCTATTACAATGAATCAGGAAGTGATGCCCATGTAAAGTGTAAGACAGGGGATTATCATCGGGAATGGTTTGAACAGTTGTTGACGATGGGCTGGTGGCTTGAGGACTCGGTGAGTTATTTTCGCTTAATTTTCCTTAATTTTTCTTATGTTTTCCATACTTATCATGTTGTTTTTAATTGATGCAGCACATCGATGAGGTATTGGCACTGATAAAGCAACGACAGACTAGTAATGGTGATCTATTGTATACCGACTGTGCCATCACCGATGTGGTGTTTGGCCAATCGCTTGTTTTGACATATCGCAATTTAATTAAAAAGGCCGTTGGTAGAGGTGTAGCAAAATGAGCCAAGCGAAAAGGATTGGCCTCAGAAGACTCGACTGCATCCTTGATCATTTTAAGTTTGATGACAAGATTATGCAATATGTATAGGGGG